GTTAGCAGTGTTAGTGTTAGCCTTGCTATCTTAGTTAATTAACTTTTACTAAAAGTTAATATCATATATGTAACACCATATTACAGCTATGTTGCAACTATGTTATGACCATGTTAGCTAACTCTCATAACTAACATAACCTGTTATAAAAAAGCGGACAATGTAAGTGAAACTTGCACGTCTTCTTCTCCAATACCGTTGGTTATCACTTTGGGTTCAAAAAGCATCACCAACATTCATGGTTGGTGGTATAGAGCAAACAAATGGTATTTGTGAAGCCTTTGGTTGCATCCAGGCCACTGAACTTTTGTAGGAAATCCAACACGGGAAATTTTGGCCCACCTGAAAATGTTTTCACAAAATGACTGAGGTAGGTCAAAACTTCAGGCTGGCAAGTATTGGCAGCTTGGACTTTCTCCTTGGCTTCATGAAGTGGTACATTGAGGCTGAACAGGTGGCCAAGCTGGGCAGCAAGCTCTAATTCATTTGGTGCCTTGGAGATGGAGTTGGCAGAGTTCATGGCCCCTTGCAGCAGGGTGGGTAGCATGGGCCATTGGCCTTCCACCAAATGGCTCAAAATGAGCCATGACCACCCATTCTGGATGAGGTCCCAGCATGGATCATCTTTGCGCACTTCCATGGGAGGCTGCTCATCTGGCAGGCAACCATGGTTGATGGCCCTCAGGAAACCTCAGCATGGACATGAACAAATGGAAGCAATGGAAGCATGGAACGCCAGCTAATTCTTTGTGATCCTGAAGGCTGACAAAAAAGCATAAACCTTACAGCTGTCATGGCAACCAAAGAACGCTCAGAACCTGTCATGGGTGCCATGGCACCATTGGCCTCCTTGATGAGGTTCTCATTGGCCATCAGCTGCTCAGACCTCTTGGCAGGGTCTGGTGAGATCTCTATGGCCATGGATTCTCCAAGGAAGGAATTGCCTTTTCATACCAATGGCCATCATCTTCTGGCCTTTGTCCCACATGTCCAACCATGAAGGCATTTGGTGGGGGTGGCACAAAACTTGGCTTGGTGTGACCACAGAGTGGTAGGCCAAACCTTGCTTCTTGAGAGTGTGGACAACCTGGTCCACCATTTGGTTCACTGGCAATTTGGATGCCAATAGATTGTTTATGGCTTTCACACAGCCTGGGTCAACCACACTCATGGCGGTGAGCAAGCGTGTTGAGCCAATGCAACTTTGCTGGAGCCAATGCATGGTGATGGATACCTGGTGCTATTGTTTGTGATTCTGGGTTGCAAGAAGCCAAATTCAAATGCTTCAAAGTTGGTTTCATAATGATGCAATGCCATCAGGCTGCCAAGCAATGGTGGAATGCCACAAATTGGCACACAGCATCTGACAGTAACTGCAATTCATTTTTTTTTAGCCATTGCCTCTGGTGATTTGCTACCTCTATGGCAGCTAGTCTTTGGGAACTGATGCCTTCTTCTGGTAAGGCTTCCTTGTCTTCAAAGTATCTTGGTGCTCTTGCAAGAGCTCAAACATTGGCACCAGCTGGCTCTCTTCCAATGGCATCACCACATCTGATTTGGTTGGCCTCTGCCCCTGCATCAAGCACTCAATGGTAGCTTCACCCAGAGGTACTTGGAGAACCTCTGGGTCATCAAGTCTTCTTTTCTTGGCCTTTGTCCTCTGGGTGCTCTGGTCACTTTCTTCATAGACAGTCTCTTGTGGCTGGTCTTCACCAGCTCCTCTGGCCCACAGTTGGTTCCTCTTGGTAATGAAGTCTTGGAAGCCTGTGTGGTTGGAAAAAGAAGCATTCTTGCCAACCTTGCCATAAAGGATTTGGTTGAGTTGCTGGCATGTAGGTCTCAGCTTCAACCATTGGCGGCCACCATGCTCTTGAATCAAATTGGCAGGCACTGGGATTGCTTTGCAATCATTGCAGCTAATGGTTATGGTTGTTTGGATGTCAACCTTCATGTTCACCCTTGGGCAAAGTAACTGCACTTGATGTTTTTACAAAATTGAATGCCACGCTGGCTGATTATTCTTATGGTGGTTTATTGAAAAGTTCACATTAGAATAGAACTTTTTTAATTTTCAAAAACAAAAAACTTACAATGTGGAAGATGATTTTTCAATACTTATATGTTATTTGATTTTTACTTAACATGGTTAGCTAAAAGTTGACAATTTTTACTAAAACATCTACTTAGTTTAACAAGTTATAATTGTTTAAACCCTACTTAAACACTACTTATAACTTGTTATAACTAGTTCACATACATTTATAACTTGTTATTAAATCATTTAACATCGATAACATGTTAGAAAAAACAGATTATTTAAGTACAGCGCCGGGCAATGGAAACGGGACGCGGACGCACGTGTGTGCAGAGAATGCGTGCGCAACTACGCAGCCAACAACACGCCCTGGCAATGCAACAGTTGCAAGGCGTGGAAGCACGAAGACGCCTTTGCAAGAATGTACGCGCGTCCCCAATGCACGTTCTACCGCGTGTGCCAGACGTGCGAGGCACAGAAGCGGTGCTACAAGTGCGGTACGGCCAAGCCGGAAAGTGCATTCGGGGCGGCCGCATGGAAAGGGCGCCATGCAGACCGACGTGTCTGCAGGGACTGCGCCATGAAAGTGAAGGGTGCGTGGCGCTGCGCCGTGTGCACGGAACGTAAGGCGCGCAATGACTTCAGCGCCTGGTCCAGGCAGCGCGCTGCACCGCAAGACGGAACGCAACGCTTGTGTCCCCAGCGCGGCCAAGCGCGCAGCAGCGCAGCGCGCAAAGAACAGCCGTGCGCGGTGCAGGGGACGGCCTGCCCGGGCGGATGCACGGGTCTACAGCTGCCACGGGCAGCGGTTGCCGCGAAGTGTCGCGCAGAGAGCCATACGGCGCCTGGCTGCGACGCGGGCGAAAGTAGCCGAAGAAAAGAGACAGCAAGTCATAGGTCTTGTGCGGGAAGAGATCGCTGACCGCGTGCGACAGAAGCAAGCCGAGGATGAGGTGCTCTTTCCCCGGGCGCAGGCGCCGAAGGGGAGAAAAGAAAGGCAGATGGCCCAAAGCAAGACGGAAATTGAAGCAGAAAGTGTCTCAACAGACACCAAGCCGTCGCGCAAAAGACACATGGAACCACAACAAGACAAGCAAGCGCAGCCGACGCCCACCAAGACCCAGCCCCGCGCACAGACAACGCAAGTAGCGCAGGCAGAGCCTGCAGCGAAGCGTGCAAAACACGTGTCGGTGAGCAGCCAAGCCAGGACAGCGCCGCCGCCGCGACGAAACTCGCAGGCAAAGCCGAAACAAGAGACGCAAGCCACCCCGACAGCCGCGCAGACGACGCTCGCACCGCCGGCAAGTTGGCTGGACACACGGCCGCCGAGGAAATGTTCCAATATGCGTGTCCTTTTTGTGAGGTGTCTGTGACCAGCACTGTGCGCACAGGCCAAGTAAATCACCGCCGTGTGTGCGGGAAGTTTTTTCGTGTCAAGGACGGACACATTGCCGCCAAGAACTTAGTCTATGCGTGTCCATTTTGCAATGGAACTGTGGCGAGTAATGTGAGGACAGGGCGAATAAATCACCGAACCGTGTGCGGCAACCAATTCTATGTGAATGAAGGCACGGTTAGCAGCAGCATCCGCACACATGCCCAGCGTGCCAGACTGTGGTCTGGTCATCACAGTTGTTTGGGCGCGTTCGGTGCCAACACAACACGCCAGCGGGAAAACCATGCCCGAAAAACACGTGGCAAGTGCAAGAGCGCAAGCGCGAAAGAAAGAAATAGAGTATAGACCAATCAGCCGGAAGCCACGTAACCACCGGGCAAACGGGAGCCGCGCAAGGCTGTGTTGCAGGACTAGGCCAAAGGTGCCGGGAAGGGTTTGAAGGTGCCTGGAGGACCCTAAAGAAAAGAGGTGCAGGCCGAGGTGGCAGGTTCCAGAGGTCAGCTGCAGTGCACGGTGGCAGAGGCTCCCTCCCCAGGCTCCCGCCTGACGCAGGCAAGGCTGCGATGCAGGAGTAGGCCAAAGGCGCTGGGAAGGGTTTGAAGCCGGGCCAAAATGCCCAACGTCGCTGTCGGAAGCCCATAGGAAGAGAAGAGGCAGGCCTGCCAGCTGCCGAGAAGAGTTTGAGGGCGGTCCAAAATGTGCCTAATCTCGCTTTCGGAAGGCCAGAAGAAGAGAAGCCGCAGGCCAAGAAGACCAGCTGCCGAGAAGAGTTTGAGGGTTTGAGGGCTGCCGAGGGGGGGCCCCAAGGCTCAGTTCTAAGGCTGCAGTGCACGGGCTGCACGTTCCAGAGGCTCCCTCCCCAGGCTCCCGCCTGACGCAGGCAAGGCTGCGACGCAGGAGTAGGCCAAAGGCGCTGGGAAGGGTTTGAAGCCGGGCCAAAATGCCTAACGTCGCTTTCGGAAGCCCATAAGAAGAGAAGAGGCAGGCCGAGAAGACCAGCTGCCGAGAAGAGTTTGAGGGTGGTCTAAAATGCCTAACGTCGCTTTCGCAAGCCTATAAGAAGAGAAGAGGCAGGCCTGCCAGCTGCCGAGAAGGGTTTGAGGGCTGCCGAGGTGGCAGGTTCCAGAGGCTCAGTTCTAAGGCTGCAGCGCACGGGCTGCACGTTCCAGAGGCTCCCGCCTGACGCAGGCAAGGCTGCGGTGCAGGAGTAGGCCAAAGGCGCTGGGGAGGGTTTGAAGGCGCTGGGGAGGGTTTGATGGGGGTCCAAAATGCCTAACGTCGCTTTAGGAAGGGCAGAAGAAGAGAAGAGGCAGGCCTGCCAGCTGCCGAGAAGGCTTTGAGGGCTGCCGACGTGGCCAACTGCTTCACCCTGCGGTGTCCCAGGCGCCTCCCCGCCTAGGCTTTGGCTTTAGGCCGGGGTCGGCGGATACCAATAGCCTTCTCTACTACTTACTTGCAACTAACTACGCTACCTTCAACTCTTCACGGCCTACCACCCCAAAGGAAGAGGTTCATGTTCACGAATCGTTTTCTTTTCTTCTTTCTCTTTCTGCACTTTCCGCTGCTGAGGTGATAGAGTGCCTGGTGGCAGCCCAGAAGGATGTCGCCTGCAACGAGAAGCTCTTCAGCAGAGCAGCGGCTGCATATTGTGAACCAGTGAGAAAGAACACCGGAGCAGCCAGTCATAGTCGTGTGGACATTGCCATCTTGGACTTCTGAGAAGAGGTGAACAGCTTGTTCTGATGTTTTTCACCACGACATCGTGGCAATAATTTCAGTCTCACAGTGACGCCATAGTGCTCACCTTGCTTTGTAATGAATTCCAATCTGTCAAAGCTCATCAAAGTTCTACACTTCTCAAAATGCTCTAAAGCTTCCAATCAGTCCAAGCCGATCTAAGTGGTATGTTCCAATCAGAGCGTGACGCTTCATGACACCTCATCGTAAGCTATGGATCTCCAGAAGGACATTTTGCCATGAACAAAATTTTTTCCTTGCTGCACGGGCTTGAGAGAGTGTGTCCATATTGAGCTGAGAATTGTGGTGTTTCTTTGGTGGCATCTCTCGCCACTCTACTTCTAGCTGAAATCTCCTCGCCCTTTTTGGCAAAATCGTGATTATACATATATATATATGTATTATAAGAAGACGTGATTCCGAAGCCTTTCGGTAAGCTTGCTCTGCAGGCCTGCGACGATGGCAACCTGGCTGGAGGTTTGGGCTGCTAGTTTGGCATCATTTCATTTTAAATGGATGCAATCATGCAACACCTCAATCACAAATGCCACTTAGAGTGCACGGAGTTCACAGAGAGTTAATTTAGCTTTCGCAGGTGATGGCTGTGATGAAAATTGCACAGTTGAGGACTGACTGATTACATTTCAGAGAACGTGTGCTTTCCTTTTCCTTCATCAGTGACCGACTTGAACACATGCGCGATCCACTTGTGCGTCAGAAGCTAGATAAAGTACGGCAATCCAAGACGGGTATCAAAGCTTTGGTGAAAAAGAACACGCATCTCATGATTTTTAAATACACATGTCAGATTGTTTTTCGACTGCAAGGCAGGTTGGACTTGTTGTGAAACCGCTGGTGCAGCAGGCCGGAGGGTTTGAACATTCTAGCATGGTCCGATTTCGGAACAAAGGAAGCTGATGTCGCTTCATCGTCGCTGCAGTTTCATTTTGGTTGAGAGTTAAGTTTTCCTAAGAATCTAGGAACCAAATCATTAGTGCGGGGAAGCTCCCCCCGCCCTCAGTCCGGGGAGCTTCCTTCAAGAAGCGTTAGCTATCCTGCGTCCAGTTGCTAGAAGCTTGAGTATAGGAGCCAACTTCTCCCCTTGCTTAATTAAGTAGGCGCCTACTTAATTAAGTAAGGGCGGGCAAAAAAGAACACTTGCGCTTTTTGGGACTTTTGACAGGGTTTCTTCGCTGCGCACAGCTTTCTCTCAGGTTCCAGTTGCAGTGGCTCCACAGCATGCGAGTCAACCTGTGGTAGAGGCCCAAGGCAACGCCTGAAAGGATAGCTAAAGAAAAGAAAGGACTAAGTCGTTTGGAACAAGATGCCACATGTTGATGCCTCCTGCCGTTTTTTGAAAAATATATCTTCTGAAATATTCAAGGCAACGGTCAGCGCGATGCTGGCGAAGCTTGTGATGACGGCAACTTGGTGGCCGCAGATGGATGCAGCCCCACTTGCGAGGTGTGGTAGAAGCTGAAGCCTACTCTTGCATTTTAGAGAACAGATGAGCAAAGGAAGGTAAGGCCCACTTTATAGGGCCCGTACCTTGTTTTTCATCTCTTTTTTGTCAATTGCAGAGTTTTCTCCAGACTTTGTCTTTGCAGTCGAGCAATTTACCATAGCGAGCGGAGGTAGAAGCCGGCTTTGCTTGCGTCCCAATGGGACACCAGCAAGCAGGCCAAGTCGGTCCCTCTTGAGCCGAAACCAAGGGAGCGGCCCTGTTGCAAGCAAGCACCAAGACCTCCGAAGACCATCAACGGTATTCGTGTGAGTAACACCATTAGATGGCCTTGATGGCTTTGCCTCCTGCAAAGCCCCTTTGTTACAGGCCGCAAGATACCGGACTATTGTGAGGTGGGAAACCAAGAAGAAGCTCATTCAAGTTGGCACCACTTTTTTGTGTGGCCTTCTACCCACTTTTGGTGGTTGCAGTCACAGCAATTGGGAGTTGCTCTGCTGCATGCATCTATTGAAGAGGCCATTTGCGGGGATGGCCTCCTGGTTGTGGGTGAGGAGTGCGACGACGGAAACCAGGTCACTTTGGTGCAGGATTTTGGAATTTGTACAACATTTCCGTTCACTTGAGCCGATGTTTTCTGCCAGCCAGCAAAGGTTGGTGGTGATGGCTGCGGTCCTTTGCTCAGCCTGTCATTGGTTACAATCCTTTTTCCAACCAGAATGGAAGCAATGAGGGGTGTTCTACGGAAAGAATAGAGGTCTCTCACCGGCGTGCTTAGCATGTCGTGCTACGTGGCTCTTCTGTGGGTCTCGCACGACGAGTTGCGTTGCACAAGCGTGTATCGGAAATGGGTTTGCTGTGGCTCCGTGCTCATCTCGGACTGCGATTCTTTTCGGTTGGCAAGTGCGACAGGTTCTCGCGACTAATTTAGTAAAGAGCGGTCGTGCATTTCAGGAATTATATAGGCTAAAACTACAAAAGCGATAGGCCTATAGGCCTATAGGCCTCCCTCAATAGCCATATATATGTGTATATATATATTGTAAAAGTAGAATGAGGTACGATGAGAGAGACATGAAGAGTATGAATTCCGCCTTCCGTTGCTATCCCTTCTCAAGGGCCCTTGGACGCCATTTGACTCGCTACGTTCGCAATGGTGTGAGAAAAGAGGTGTGCGCTCTGACGAGCGATTGTGCTGGGATCCCCCAGGAGGAACACGTTCCCTTTGCATTTCCTTGCATTCACTTCAGCTCCGCTGTTGCTACCATTTCTACATGGTAGCGGAGCAGGTCGCTCCAAGCCTGCTCCACTCGTGAGGACCTTGCTGGTCCTGGCCTCGTCCGAGGCTTCCTCCGAGCTCCGACTTTCGAAGCTCTTGTGAGGGCATCCTGCCCTAAAGACCCTTTTCCTCCATGGCCGTTGACTCTGGAAAAGACTTGTTCTACAACCGGAGCTTCGACGGGAATCCAAGTGGATACCGTGACTTCAGGCGGCGCACCTTGCTGGCAATTGCATCAGTTGAGGATAAGAATGCTCACCTTGCTGGAGCAAAGCTGCTTGGTCGGTTGTCTGGAGGAGCTTGGCGTGCTACAGAACATATCCCGATACACAAGCTTCGAGAGGATACAGGTTGGACAGCTGTGATTCACGCATTGGACAAACATTACAAATATTTGCCTGAAACAGAGTTGCATGGTGCAGTTGATAATTTTCTGTTTTCCTTGAAGCGACATCCCCATGAAGGTCCGACTTCGTTCAGTTCCCGTTTCCGCACTCAGCTGGATAGGCTACAGAATCTGATTGCGCAAGAGCGTGAGCTGCATCGAGCGAAGAAACAGAAAACTCGCAAGACTTCATCACATGCTGGTGTTGACGACAATAGCAGCGTTGGTGATTCAGAACCACCTGATGCTGATGTTCTACCTGAGGTGCCAGCCCCTTCAGGTTCACCGGACACATCTGAGCATGAAACTGCTCAAGAGGCTGCCGCCTCATCGTCGGATCATGATCAACGTGCTGCAACAGAGCCAATTCGTTCAAAGCCACCTTCCTCGATCGGTCGAGATGCTGGTCACTTGAAACGCAAGCAGGGCAGTGACGGTCGTGGATCGTTTAAGGCTGACAAGGACAAATCACACAGGAAGATGCAACAGACGCTTGCTTGGTGTGTTGGAGCAAGGTCATTTGAAACCAAGACCTATCTTTCCCCAGAGCATCTTGGGCCACCTCTTCATGAAGAAGTATGGATTGTCCCGAGAACAGCGTGCATCCGTGATCAGGGCCACCAATGGCTCCTCTCGCTATGATGACGTTGAGAGGATTCTTCGTGCTTCTGATTACGAAACAGTGATTGATGAACGAAAGCTGGAAAGAAGGCCTCACCGTCCTCCACCACGCAGAGAGACCTTTGCTGTGCAGGACACTCCACCCGAGCCTCAGTATGTGCATGCAGTTGATGAATCCACGAGTCCGGAAGGGCTCGGTTCTGACAGTTCTGGAGCTTCTGATGGTGTTTATGCGGCGGCTGATCACCAGGATCCTGGCGACACTGACGCTGAAATCGAAGAAGTGTATGAGCTGCAGAAAAAGGCGAAACAACAAGTGAAGAAGGGTATGAAAACCTACAAGGAGACCAAAAAGCGAGTACGAGAATTGAAGAAACAAAGACAGCCGTACTATCCTGTTGTTGCCATCCCTCCGAATGAGCAGCAGCAAGCAGGTGCCTCATCTCAGCCACCTGTACAAAAGCAGACCTTCAAATATGACAGAAAGCCTACACCAAAGCCTGGAGGACCGAAGAAGGCTCCTTTCAAGGCTCCTCGACGTGAAGAAGCAAATCTAGCTCAAGCCAGCTTCTCACCGGACTTCGCATACATGGTGCAAGAAGCGTGCAGAACTGAAGAAGCATATGTTGGCATGTGGTCATCCTGAGCCCATGACTTGTATACCTTGCCGCCCGTTGAGCTTCGTGGCTTTTCTCAGGGAAGCGCCATCAAGACTGCGGATGGGCTGCGCTGGACAGTCCGCCTGGGCCGTGACACCGGTACCATCACGACGTATGTGGTACCGGGGAATGCTCCATTCCTGCTGAGCCGTCGTGTTTTGGAAGCAATGGAAGCCCAGCTAGATTTGTCGACTTTGACATTGTCGAGCAATCGCCATGGTATGCACAAGGTTCCACTCAGGCAAGCTGCCAATGGGCACCTCTTGCTTAATCTGTGTGAGCCTGCTCCCGAAGTGAATTTGCAGCCAGAACAGCCAAGTTCTTCGATGTCCTCGCCAGACCACCCAGAAGCCGGTCATGAGGACTGTCACGAGTGTGAAACTGAATTAAGTAATGAGCCCAATACTAATCCAATTGCAGACTCCGATAACCATCGTAAGAGAAATACCTCAAGGTCCGAAACCAATAGCCGCGATCTCAAGAAGTCCCCCCAAAAGATTGTTGAAAAGGGTACGCGTGTGACCAAAAACGTGCACTTCAACATGTTGTGAAAAACACCAGAAAAGGGGTGATAAA